TGTAAAGAAAATATAGGTGCAGACTATTTATAAGCAGGCCTTACACTGTAAAGAAAATATAGGTGCAGACTATTTATAAGCAGGCCTTACACTGTAAAGAAAATATAGGTGCAGACTATTTATAAGCAGGCCTTACACTGTAAAGAAAATATAGGTGCAGACTATTTATAAGCAGGTCTTACACTGTAAAGAAAATATAGGTGCAGACTATTTATAAGCAGGCCTTACACTGTAAAGAAAATATAGGTGCAGACTACTTATAAGCAGGCCTTACACTGTAAAGAAAATATAGGTACAGACTACTTATAAGCAGGCCTTACACTGTGACAATGGTGTAATTAGGAAACCTGCCACTTTTATGACAACCTTCGGGAAATTAGAATGCAATACACGCTGAAACTCATATTCTGACATGCCCTGACGTTCATGTTCAAACTTGATATAATTCACAAACTTGATAACTTGCAGTAATGAAATTGTGATAGTGAATATTGTTATTTGTACTAATAATATATGCATACATGTAAAAAAAGTGGTCTACATGGCAATGAATTTCCACAAAGTGACCGTAACCCTGTGAAATTTTCTACAAAATTCACAAAAATCAGTTCATATGAAATATAAATATTTTAATGTCCTCCAAAAATTACCATAGTAACTCAATCTTTTATATCTTTTAGTTGTTAAGCTAGTTTCTTATGTTTATTTGAATTATGTTGTTTTTGACAGAGTGAATCCAGGTTGAAAAGTTTAAATGCTTCATTTAGACTAAGAAAACCTGACAGGTAAAGTAGACATCATATTTTCTTTATCTTGGAGTGGAAAGTGGGGGTAAGGGGGTTCGAGGTTGGTTATCTTTGCTACCATTGCTGTTACTACATTTAAATGAAACTTTGACATTAAATACTAAGACTGTGAAATACCCAAAAAAGTATTTTCTGCAAAAGTAAAGTATTATACAGTATATGCTATATAGGTGCATAGATTTATTATACAGAGAGACAACACTTTATATGAACTGTTCACAGATGTTTGTTCATATTGTCAGACAAGAATATCATAATATAACAGGGTACAGTCATCTACACTACTTTAATGATAACTTTTTAGCCAGTTTGTTAGTCTACATTCGGATGCAATCCAAAAACTGGGACTTACAGATTGACCACTGTGTGTGTGTCAATGCTGCCATGCATAGCTTGTTTAAAATCTATTGTCAAATGGAGAGGTCGCATGACTTAGGTCAAATATACTAGAGGAAAGCCCTTTTATCTAAATCTTAACAAATTTATTTTCATGATCACTATAATTTCAATATGTAATCTTTTAAATAATTTACTGATTGCTGTTGTTTCGGTATAAATTTAACACTACAAACCAGAGGACACACTGTAGTATTAAATATCTGTTGTTTTCTCTAATTTTCAGACAATTTGATGAAGTGAAAAATTATGCATCTGATTTACATAACAATATATCTAATCTTTTAAGGATCCGGGCTGTAAGTATCAATGTACTGTACTGTATGTGTATGTAGTGGTAATATTCACTACATTCAATTACCCACCATAGACTTAGGCGAGCCTGCCTATTCTCATAGTTCATACCCACCATAGACTCCGGTCAGTCAAAATGACTATTTTGAACTGTAGGCATTAATCAGCGATTCTGCCGGTGACGGAGAGATAGAATCTAGGTCAGGGGAAGCCCCATGACCCCAAGATTCTCTTCCCCTTACGTCACGAACCACTTGACCGAGGCCATATGGCAGCGCCGTAGACGGCTGTACAATCACTCTGGTTCCTTT